GATGAGTAAGTTGCTGAGTTGACTAAGGAAGTGAGCAACGAGTTGAGATTCGACTCGTAAGGCGAGTCAGACGAATATTTTATCGGTGAGCAACCACCATAAATAAAACCGTCAACTGATGAATCAGAGAAAATTAGTGGAAAGAAGAAAGAAAAGAAAATGTACATGAAAATGAGAAGAAAATGGAAGATTTTAGCCATTTTCTCTCTATAGCTATGAATAGAGAGTTTGAGATATGGTTGCTTCAAAGAGTATTTATGGGGAAAAATTGTCTTCTTTATTTTTATATTATGGTTTTCTTTATGACATGCCAAAAAGTTAAAGGGGAGGAAATGTAAATAGCAAAAAGTTATGGGCCAGACTAATCCATTCTTATAAATTGATAGGCTTTTGTATTAAATTTAATAATATTTCAAAAAAGTAAACGTAAAAAGAGAGAAACTTTACTTGATCAAGTAAAAGTTGTGCCTTTTTAGTACTTACCATTAAAACTTGAGCTATACAATTTACTTACTAAACTATTATATAAATGATTAGTCCTTTTACAATTTGTTATAATTTTGTATCGGTTTCTGTTAGGATCAAGTTCTTACTATCATGCCAAATGCTATAGCTAATAGTAAAGACGTAACTTTTTTTCTTAACTAAGTCCACCAAGCAAATGTCATGTTCGATCATGACTCCGACCCAGGCCACCTAGCCCCTCGTGGGCCTTGCCATACGCAAGATGTTGGCATTACTCAACAATCTCCCTCCCAACACCTACCTCATGCATAATGTCGTAACAAGTTTTAATTTTTATATGTAAAAGATTTGAAAATACTAACATACAAAATTACACTATATATATATACAAGGAATCTCCTTAACCTTTTCGAATATCTACTTTTTTATATTTTTGAACCTTTAAATGAAAATTATGGCTCTGACACTGCGACCTTAGTGTACATAAATAAACTAACTAAACAAATGAATTGGAAAGTAAAGATTGGGATTTAACGTCTTTTGATGCATGATTAAATGTGTGCGTATAATGTACATTACGTAACATGAGAAAGTGCCGCAACCATTTACCTTATCAGTAAAAGTACTTGTAAGTTGTAATATTAGGTTAGTTTATTTTGGTACATGATATTTTTAATTAGAAAAAATAATATATATTTATATATATATATATATATATATATATATATATATATATATATATATTGTGGTTGTGTATGGATTTTTTGCATATTGAAAAGAGGGAATTTCGTTAATGGTAAAAATAACACATCTAAATTATCACTTTATTGCGAGTTTCATATCATAACTATTTAGTGTTCTATTTAATTACTTGCTCGAAGTATCACCTTTTTACCAGTTTTATATATTAATTATTCATTTCTTTAATTTATATATCTAAATTATCACTTTTTCGCGAGTTTCATACCTCAACTATCCATTGTTCTATTTAACTACCCATCTAAAGTATCACCTTTTTGCGAATTCCATACTTCAACTATTCATTATTTTATTTACCTATCTAAACTATTACTTTATCACGAGTTTCATACCTAAACAAACTATTATTCTATTTAATAACCTAAAGTATCATTTTTTTCGATGAGTGTCATATCTCAACTATCCAATGTTCTATTTATCTAGCTAAACTATCACTGTTTCGTGAGTTTTTTTTTGCCATTTCTATACCACTCCAAAATTAGGCTAAGTTTTCCATTTCCAATTGGTAGTGCATATGTGATTGGCAATTTGGCACCCTTTTAAACATAGCCAGGTTTTTGAAAACTGTTTAAAGTTCAGCCACTTCAGATTCATGTTTGAAGAGACTATTATTTTTTAATTTTATTTTTATGAACTTTTGACTATTCTTTAAATTGTGATGCCACAAATAGAGTTGTCAATATGGATCGGTCCAATCCATTCATGCTAGTTCATACATTCTTTGAAATTTGACGGATCAATACGAGCTAACCTATTATGTGGGCCAGGAAACATTAAGCCCAATTCATCTCCAAAAATCCTAATCCAACGTAACACTATCAAACCGCGGATCCTAATTCAAGACAATGTTTAATGAGAAAATGACACATTTATACAACTGAAAGCTATAATTAGCAATAAATAGTCCAATATTAATTAGCATTTAATAGACAAATAAAACATAAGCACAAAATGATGTAGCACTTCTATATAGTATATACTATGATAATTTAATTAATTCCTAGTAAATGTAAACTGGGTTCTAAAAATTTCAAATTGAAGAAGAATGACTTCAAAATCTATATATATATATATATATATATATATATATATATATATATATATATATATATATATATAAACATGATGTTATTTGTATGCATAAGTTGATTTGAATACCAACATTATTAAAAAATAGCATGTACGTTATCCTTTAAAGTAAGCCACAACTTCCGTACGAACCTGAAGTGATATAAGTATTATAATATATGAACTCTTAGAAATACAGTCAGCTCATATGTGTCAGATCCTTTAAAAGTAATATTTTTAAAAGAATTTGTATGAGTGCACAATATTTTTAAAAAGCTCAAACAATATTCATACATTATCGATTCAGTTGTGTATCAAAGTTTTGACCTACAAAAGCTATAAATCAAAAAGTTGTTGAGAGAAAGAAAAGAAAAAGTGAAGCAAAATGAATATGAGTGAGTTTATGTATGAGTCTTCAAAAAAAAGTTGCAAGGTATATATAAGATAAGATATATCCAAGGAGATGCCATATTTTATGTAATTAATTTAATTATCTAATAGATGAATAAAAATTAATCAAACACTTGATTAAAATTTAAGATATTTAATTAGACTAGAACTTCTTTCGAAAATCCAAATAGAATATTTTAATAAATTTCAGAGATTAACTAGGTATGAAACCTTTATAATTTATCCTTTCTAGAATGGCATGAGAAAGAAAAAGGTCAACATTACTTTGATAAAAAAAATTATGAGTCAAATCAAAAAGGAAAAAGGAAAAGAAAAACAATTTAATTAAGGAGAATAAATGGAACGCCCACCTTAAAAATCGAGCATAATATCTTAATTAATATTAGGAGAACGCTACAAATTGAGCATAATATATAATTATTTTACTTGTATAATAAAATAATGTTTATATTTGTAGGCATATAAACATATATATAATGTTTATTTTGTTTATATTTGGACAATATCTATTATGTAAAAAACAATGTTTGTGTTTATATTGGACAATGTTTCCAAATAATTATAATTTCTAAATAATATATATATTGAACAATATTTTAATAAAATAATGTTTGTTATTTTTATATTGGACATATTTTTTTTCAAGACTCGATCTCATATATCATCGCAAAAATGAAGAAGAAGGTTTTATGTGGTTCTTCAAGATAAATTAGTTAGGGTTGCTAATTGTTTTTTGAATTTTACACAATTCTTGAAAATTAAAAATTATTTGATAGGTCAGATTGAATCGACATTGATATCATTAATTATTTTACATAGTATTTTTGCTCTTGTTTGGAATCCCACCTCATCCTAGAACATCAAATATTTTGTCAAATATTTCACAATAATGTTGCTTAAAATAATCACATTAAACAAGAAAAGGGAATATAAATCTTTTCTTGGTGATACACACACATGAGTCATTTTTTGAATAATTTGCTATTATACAAATATCACTTGCTTTGTTTTACTATTAATAACTAGAGACAAACAAATCATTGAATAAAACAATTATATTACTCCTGTTTTAAATATAATCAATTTTAATTTGGAGATTCCATTTCTTGAATTGGTACAAAGTCTGTCTTAGGATCATAGTAAGTAAGTGGAGTAATTTAATTCTACAATAACAAGTAAGTGGAGTAATTTAATTCTACAATAACAATAGTATTATAATCAGTGTAATCTCACAAATAATATTTTTTTTTAAATTATAACAAAAAAGGGAAAAAGATAATTTAAGAATTGCTTCTTTAATTTGGTAGGTAGGTAATGAAATACTTCAAAAGTTCTTAAGCTTGTTTGTATTTTTTTTTTATTTAGATATTTGAAAAACGTCATATTTCAATTAAGCACTTGAATGTATAATGAAATATTCTTATTAGACACTTCCTGATTGGAATTTTGAAAAAAAGATTTGCACATATTATTATGTTACGAAAATAAAATTATCCGTTTTAAATTATACTTCATATTAGCTAGTGAGATTTGTACACTCGAGCTCTAGTTCATTCAAACGTTTGAAATCGCTGAACTACAATAATTTATTGAATTAAAAGTGTCCAAAATATATTATTTAATTACTTCAGGATCATTTTACACACTAGAGTTCAAATACTTAAATTAAATATTTAGATAAATTAGTTGTATTTGGTACATGTTTTTTTCTCTTTTGGCTTTTATTGGTCCTTTAAAATTCAAAAAATTATGGGGGCAGCCTGGCAGACGACAATATTTTTTTCTAGGCTATTCACGTGGTATTTGACAACTGCATATGATTCGATTAAATTTGAATTTTCGTATTATAGGATTCACATCTAGTGATAAGCAAAAATAATTTTTAGAGATAATTAATTAACGATAATAGTTTAATTGTTATTAAATATATCTTTTTAGATGCAATTAACATTCTTTGCAAATGTTCTAAAGCCTATAGCGATATTAGATCCAATGACGTCAATTAACTAATATCGGTATCACCCCATATCTATTGCCACAAAAAGTTGTTTATGTTGTAGTGAGTACTCCCAATAGTAATTTTTTTCATTTTAAGAACTCAAACACGAAATCTTTAATTAAAACTGAATAAATCTCAATCATCCCACCAAAACATACGTCCAATATGCATCTAGCTTAGTTTTTTTTTATTTATATATATATAAATATGGATACCAAATAGCTACTTGATTACAAATCTCATTTGTTTGGCTCTCTTCTATTTTTTTCTTAAAAACTTCACTTTTTTGAGGTGAAAAATGGCAAAATCATCCCATGAAATTGAGCATCCAATTAAGCCATTTGGATGGGCAGCTAGAGATACTTCTGGTGTTCTTTCTCCTTTCAACTTCTCAAGAAGGTATGATTTTATTTTTATAATTTTATTAGTTTCGGTATTCATAGTAATTTATAATAGAAGAGTTTGTTAAATTATGAGAAATACATCCAGATCAGGTGAAATATACTTGAACACAATGTCTTTGACATGTCTCAAACTTTTAAGAATTCTCAACAAAATTTCATAATCAAGTATTTTTCATAAGATTTCCACCACTTAGTGCATCGAACCTTTTGTTTTCTTTTGACAAACTTAAAGAATTGTTCAAGGATCCATCATTACATTTAAGTTTTTAACCTTGTACATATGTATAAGTGATATAATTTAGGTGGGACTTTAATCCCTTTTTACTTAATAATGGTACGTGGTAGTCGTACTCGATTTGCATGTCTCTCGATTAATGTATTTATTTATGTTTTACTGGATGTAAGTAATAATAATAATAATAATAATAATCCAACCTATTTATGCTCATCTTAATTAATTTATACGTTAAGACATTGATTATTTTACTCGCTTCGACATATGAGAAGAAATTATTTAATGTTTTTTATTTTTATTTTATTGGATGTAGGGCTACTGGGGAGAATGATGTACAATTCAAAGTGTTGTATTGTGGAATATGTCACTCAGATCTTCATATGCTCAAGAATGAATGGGATAATTCCAAGTACCCTATTGTGCCTGGGTAAATTCATTATTTGAAGAATATTTAAATTTTGGAAAATTAACTAGGGTAATTAAGAAAGGAAAATATTTTTATTAAATTTCTATTTTAGTTTTCTTGTATGGCTTGTGTAGATACTGAACCTCGATTATAACAACATCTTACGTGTGTTTTTACAGGCATGAGATCGTGGGAGTGGTAACTGAGGTCGGTAGCAAGGTTGAAAAAGTGAAAGTGGGGGACAATGTAGGTGTTGGAGTAATCGTAGGATCATGTCGAAAATGTGATAGTTGTACCAATGACCTCGAACAATATTGTTCTAGCAGTATTGGCACGTATAGTACAACTTACTATGACAGAACCACCACATACGGAGGCTACTCCGATCTCATGGTGGCCAACGAGCATTTCGTGCTCTGTTGGCCGGAGAATTTACTGATGGAAGCTGCCCCATTATTGTGTGCTGGTACCACAACATATAGCCCATTGAGATATGTTGGGCTTGATAAGCCTGGATTGAACATTGGTGTTGTGGGCCTTGGTGGGCTGGGCCATATGGCTGTGAAATTTCCAAAGGCTTTTGGATGAGGAAATGACACATATATACAACTGATAGTTATAAGGGAAAATTGTATATAATAGCAAACTATTAATTCAAATTAAATGTTATAAATATAGTTTGATTTAATTGTACCTCATAGCAAACTATTGCTATTTCACCTCTCTCCTGGTGAATCTCGCTCGCCACTCTCGTTCTCTCCCTCGCCTCTCTAGTTTTTTATACAAATGCAAGTGTATAAAGTGCGTTTGTGTTTGTATAAAGTGAGAGAAAATTGTACATATACATATATTTTCATTCCCCTCTCCCAGATCTCGCTCGCCACTCTCCCAGATCTCGCTCTCTCACTTTATACAAAAAACGCAAATTGTATAAAATGTGTTTGTATTTGTATAAAGCGAGAGAAAATTGTATATATACATATATTTTCGTTCCCCTCTCTCACCTCTCCCAGATCTCGCTCGCCACTCTCCCAAATCTCGCTCGCTCACTCGCCTCTCTCACTTTATACAATTGATCTTTTTGTATATGTATACCAAAACAGATTATACAACTGCTTTCTTTTGTATATGTATAGCGAAATATACATATTTATGTTTGCTATGGAGCGCAATTATGCAAACTTTGTTATAACATACAAATATGAATTTTGTGTTTGCTATATGTGAAAGTTCATAATTAGCATTTAATAGACAAATAAAAAATAAGCACAAAATGGCCCAAATTAATAAATGACATTTTAATAGTTTTTTTTTTTGTTTTCCTCGTATAACTAATCATCACTAAACAACAAAAATAACGGAAACATCAAAAATTATATATACAATACGTAACCACCTAAAAACGTAAATTATGTATTTTCATATGTTTTTTTATTCGTTACTTGATAAAAAAAATTCCAATTGTATACTTGATGATTGTATATAGGTAAAAGAATGGTGTATTCATTCACTTAGTATATTAGTATACAATTATAGCTGTGTTATCCCTTCCAGTGTATACATATAAATAAATCAGTGCATACATATTAAAAAATCAAACACTTCATGTATGCATTGCATTCATGTATACATATTCGTGTATTCATTCCCTCAAAAATTGTATACATTTCAGATTCTTTATTCAGTGTGTAAATGAGGATTGCACATAAATTTAAAATGCTCAACAACAAACACACAAGTTGAAACGGATAACGAGAAGAACTTACATGGCTAAAATTTAGAGTTGTGGATGGAGAATCCACAAAATTAGAATGAGAATCCTTTTTTTTATGAATAATCCTAGGGATAACTTTCTTAAACATGACAATTGATACATACAATCAATTATTGTTATGCAAGTTTTTGCCTAAATTAGATATACCTTAAATTTCAAAAATTAAAACTCCCAAAAAATTGAACGACAATACAAGAGGGGGATCAAACCTAGGCTAACAGTTAGAGAAATTGACGAGTAGACATCAACAAACAATAAAAAATTTAAAAGCGGAAGAGAAAAAATAGACACTATGAACGAATATTTTTATAGAACTCAAATATGTAAAACTAATAAACAAAAAGTAAATCATCTTTTATTCAAAGTAATGAAGAAGAAGAAGAAGAAAGAATTAATAAAAAAAAAACACAATTCAAAAGAATCGTGTGTGTATGGAAAAGAAGATAAAAAATAGGAAGAAAAAAACCACTTCCCAATAAAAAAGGACACCATGCTGCCCACCTTCTAAAATTATTTAATTTAATTAAAAATGAACTTCCCAATACGTGGGCTACTAATTGCAAAATTTAATTTTCAAAAAAAAAAATTTGTCAAAAAAGTAAAAGAAGGTTATATGCTGCCAATTAGTAAAATGGAATGTCATGTTGTGCCATTTTTTCCTTTTGGATGCAATGTGACTGTTATTAGTACTTCTATTAATAAGAAGGATGAAGCAATTAAACATCTTGGTGCTAATTCATTCTTGATTAGTCATGATCAAGAACAAATGCAGGTATTTTTTTTCACTAGTGTAGGAGCAAATTACTTTCATTTACATGAATTTTCAATTTTATGAATCTTACCAAAATTTGGATTCGGATACATGAGGCTTAATTAAAATTAAGTGTAATTTGTTCCAGATATATTGTATCCAAATGGATTCGTATGTACCTGATCCTCGCGCTGCCTCCCTCCTATCTCCTCTCTCCTATCTCCTCTCTCGCTCACTACCTGTATTTCAAAATGTATCTGGTATCCCATATACATGTATCTAGTGTGATTCGCATGTATCTGGGATACATAGACTATCTGGCTCACCTTTTTCCTTCTCTTGCTCCCCTTTCTCCCTATTTCAGTGTATTTGGTATGGAATTATTAATTTGTGGGACAATATGTAATTATTTCAAACTATAGAGAGAATTAGTAAATATGATACGAATATTTGTATAATTAGACAGGTTTTCGTTGAAACAATGTACATGTCAGGTCATAAGTCCTCTGACATGTTTGCTTACATTGAAACGGTATGTGAGCTAGGATTGATATAATATTCTCTTCGTTTTAATTTGTTTGTCTAATTTTGACATGACACATTATAATACGAGTTGTATTATTATTATTATTATTATTATTATTATTATTATTATTATTATTATTATTATTATTATTATTATTTTGCAGGGTGCAACAAGCACATTGGATGGAATTATAGACACAGTTTCAGCAGAACATCCAATTGCTCCATTGCTCAATATATTAAAGCCTCATGGAAAGCTTGTAATGGTTGGTTTACCACCAAAGCCACTTGAGTTGCCAGCTTGGCCTTTGCCTATGGGTAACAGAAATAACTCGAACTTGTTAGTAAATTTCATGTCATTTAAACACTTGAATTATGGTCTATTTTGACTGAACACATGATAAAGTGTTGTTATTATCAATTGCGTAGATAAGTATAACTACTAAAAATATGTCACTTCTTTTAATCATATGCACTAGCCTCAATAAGCTGTAAAACCTCAAGCTTATTCCAGTTGAGGCTAATGCATATAATTAAAGTATATAACATATTTTATGCAGTTAACTTATCTATGTGATAGGTCATGAGAACAAGTATAAAAACTTTTCTATAATTTAAGCTGAAAGTATCTTATATGAACACTTTATCATGTGTTACATGGCTCATTGAAATAGGTCGTAATCGAGTGCCTAAATAAAATTTACTAGAAAATTTAAATGATTGTCGATGTGTTCCGCCGATTTTTTCAATATTGTTCTAATAACATTACTTAAATTTTTATATGTAGGAAAATAATGGGAGGAAGCATCATTGGAGGAATGGAAGAGACCCAAGAAATGCTTGATTTTGCAGCAAAACATAATATTACACCTCAAGTTGAAGTTGTTTCACTGGATTATGTGAATATTGCCATGGAACGCCTTTTGAAATCGAATGTCAAGTATCGATTCATGCTCGATATTGGAAAAACATCGAAAGTTGGGTGTAAGCTGATCTGAATATTATCGTTATGAATTTAAAATAAAACAACAAATTATGGCCAAAATATAGATTTTTGGCCATTAGGGTGGGTTTCTTATCTGAAATTTTCACCCTTTTAAGTCTTTGTTATTTTGAATTTCTAATCTTCAAATTTGTTTTTATATCTCATTTTCGCAAATTTAAGGCTTCAATTATCCTTTATATTTTATTTATATGTCTAAATTATCATTTTTTCGCAAATTTCATACCTCAAGTATATATTGTTCTATTTATTTACCTGCCTAAAGTATGATCGCCTTTTTGTTAGTTTCATACCTCAACTATCAATTGAGCATCAAAACACACGTCGATGCTAAGTTAAAACAAAGTATGATCGCCTTTTTGTTAATTCTTATTTATGTATTTTATTACCAGCTAGTACACCCAAGCCCAAAACAAAGTTCAGTAATGGGCTAAAAGTCTAAATTTACTCCAAAATTGGGCCCAGGTAGTGCATATGTGATTGGCACCCTTTGAAACATAGCCATGTTTTTCAAAAACTATTTAAAGTTTAACCACTTTTTAATAAATTAAACAAAACTTAAATAAATATAACTCTTAACTTGTTACGAAAAACTTTAGACCTTAAGTTTAATGTTCCGAGCTTGAAGTTGGCCTCAAGGAAATATTATCGAGTTTGAATTTCAAATTCGACATTATGAAGTTTGAAGAGCCAATTAATTTTAAAATTTTCATTATAAAGTTTGGAAAGACAATTTTAAATTACTTTTTTATTCTCTTCCCTAAGTTAGGGTGGGGACTCTACAAAATATATTATTATTATTGTTGTTGTTAAAACCTTGACTATGTTTTAAATTGTTATGCTACAAACAACTATTTATTCACTTCTTCCTCCCAATTGTTCTCAGAAAGCAGAATCGAATATACGTATAACAAATGGTACATATTTACCTTTTTTCTATTAAGGGTCTGATTTTTTTTTTATAAAAATATCGTAAAACTTGTTTTTTAATTCCAAAAATACCAAGTGATTTTCAAATTTTTTTTTATCTCACCTATGAACCCAAATAATTAAAAACCACCCAACTAACATAACATTTTTTTGATAATCCATCATTAATTAAGATTAGCAATTAATATTTATTGTTTGACAATAAAATTTATCCGTCACTAATTATTTTTTTGAATGAATATCTCATAATTAAAAATAAAATCTGAACACGAAAACATCAAAAAAGAAATCAAAAAACGGAAGTTTAGGAAAATGAGAGTATTGTCAATTGAAATAAAGTGGATTTAAGACTCGATAATATGATCTAACAATTAATAAAACAAAAATACAAAAGATTAGAATTCAAATCTCACCATTACGAAATAGACCTGTATACATCATCCTTTAAAGTACGTCATAGTTTGCATACAAACCTGAATCAACAAATATATATTAAAAAATATTCGACGATTCAGGTGTGTTGCAATCTTTGACATACAAAGGCTATCAAATAGCTGCAAAAACAAACAAACAATAGAATAAAAATGTGTATGAATTGATGTGAGGCTTCAAAAAGTTACTAGAGTTTATATAGATATATTGGGTAATGTTAAAAGAAAATCTTGGCCGTTGAATTTATTCCCAATAAAATATTTGGAGGCTGTGTTTATATTTATATTTATATTACTTAGAAAACCCTAGTTATGTGTAATTTACATTTGTATCCCTTCAGAATCTACATATATATAGATATTGTTGTTTTCACCCATAAATTAATTCAAATATCAAATTATTCAAAAGAATATCATATACGTTATCCTTGAAGTATGTCATAGTTTTCATACGAACCTGAATCGACATATGTATTATATATGATTTATATATGTTATTCAGACTCATAAAAATAATGGACGCACAATATTTTTAAAAAGTCTGAACAATATTCATACATTGTCGATTCAGGTGCGTATCGAAGCTTTGACATACAAAGGCTATAGATCAAAAAAGTATTTGAGAGTTGAAAAAAAAAGTGAAGCAAAGTGAATATGAGTCTTCAAAAAAAACTTGCTAGACATATATAAGATATATTGAAATTATTTCGTACTATAATAAGTTTGTTTGGAGGCTGTGTTTATAACATTTAGAAAACCCTAATTCTATGAAATTACATTATAGCCCTCTTAGATATTTATATTATGACATTATTAACCCTTGATGTATTCATGTTGGGCATCTTATTATATTGTTGCACTCAATATATTATATGACATAAGAAAGGGCTAATTATTTAATTAATTATACTGTCTGATTATTGTTGCTAAATGTTCACTAAAATTTCAATTGAAGGGCAGTGGTTTCTACCTTTCCCATTTCATTGAAGCATGTAATAATCTCCTTGATCTTTATTGTTTTGTTACGTTTTTTTCTTGAGCCGATCTATCGAAAAATAACCTCTCTATTCTTCAATGTAGGGGTACAATCTATATACACACTATTATCTTCGGATTCCACTTATGATCGTGTTAGACTACCCTATGTTAAAAGTAGGTTCTCAATGCACGAATTTATAAATGAAAACTTTAATTGTGTTGTCTATGAGTGTCTGATATTTGTCATCTACATAAGTATTTAAGTTCAGCTAGCTAATTAGAGTGATGTTTTTAACGTTGTTAATAGTTTAGAAACGAAACACCAAGTTCAGATTATTATTTTTTCATAAAATCACCTACCTTGTTTCCATAAGGCCTGCTTTTTTGTCTTTTTTTTCTGTTTTGAAACAAAAATGCTAAGGATAATAATTTCTTTTTTTCTTTTTTTCTCCAATCATGCTTTTATTTGTTTCAAAACAAACTTTAACGTTTATTTTGAGGGATAAAGGATTATAACTTCGAGACCAAATTCAGGATTAGTTTGTCTCATGTTTGGTAGGATTTTAAAAAGAGTTTTGAATTAGTAATTATATTATTTATTTTACATTAAATGATTAACTAAAAATATATTTTCTTTTCCTTCATTTTATTTTACTTAGCGTTTATACTAAAAATAGATTATTACGTATTTTTTTACCTGTCTATTTTAACAAATTAAGAGAAATTCATTATTTTTCTCCCAGTACTACACCGTTATCATTACATAACTACATAAAATATAAGTTGCCAAATTTAAATTATCAAAACATAATTAATAAGGTTAATTTATGAAAAAATAAACTCCTAACAAATATTTTTTTTAAAAAACTATCAAGTCAATATAGATCAAATAAAACGAACAGAAGGAGTATATATATATATATATTATTTTATCTCCTTTTGCACGTTTTTATCCTTTAGAGATTAGAAATTGAGAAATGATTGGACCAATCAACGAAAATCTAACTTTTTTTTTATAAATATGAATACCAAATGGGCATTTGGTTTTAATTTTATACACATTTTCTTCTGTTTCAACCTTTTGCTTTGGTTATTTATTTATTTTAGGTGAATTTTAATTAACTTTACTTTGGGGGGGAAAATGGCAAAATCCTATGAAATTGAGCACCCAATTAAGGCATTTGGATGGGCAGCTAGAGACACTTCTGGTGTTCTTTCTCCTTTCAACTTCTCAAGAAGGTATAGTTTCTTTCCGCTCAATATTCGATATTCATATTAGGGTTTGAGAATTCGTGTGTTTCATATTCATTTTTAGTGGAGACACTATTAATAAAAAGAAAAAATTATTCTCAAAGACTTGAACTCGAGGGTTCTGATTAAGGACTATATTAACCCATATTAATTAGTATATATATACCTTTTCTTTCTTAATATAGTGGTGTTTAGATCGATTTGTGTCTACATACTATGTACGTTTTTAAAATTGTACATAGTAGTTGAAACGATTTTCAATGAGAAGTTTATCAACATAAAAATTGACCTTAATTAGGTATATATTATTTTTTATAGCAAAGAAGGTTCGGATGATCCCTTTCTGCGCCTCTGGCTCCACCCATGATTATACATAATATTGAGTTTAATTCTAGTTTTGTTAAGATCATAGTGTTTTAAAATGCTCAATCTCTAATTTTTTTTAATTATTATTATTATTTATTATTATTATTATTATTATTATTATTATTATTATTATTATTATTATTATTATTTGTGTGTGTAGGGCTACTGGGGAGAATGATGTACAATTCAAAGTGTTGTATTGTGGAATTTGTCACTCAGATCTTCATATGCTCAAGAATGAATGGGATAATTCCAAGTACCCTATTGTGCCTGGGTAAATTCATTATTTTCCATTCTAATTTTCCTTCAATATACTTGCATAATATATGCAAAATTAACTAGTATTTTAGTATTCTTTTCTTAAATTTTACTATTATCTATTACTACGATTGCTTTGTTTATTGCTGTTGTTATTTTTCTTTCAATTCTGTTATGATCGATTACACTTTTTCTAACCTCTCTACACGGCTACACCAAAAAATAGGAATAAATTATGTGTATATCTTATTTGTCACTGACCTTACTTATAAGGTTATACTGAGTATGTTATCGTTGTTTGCGGAGAAAAAAGGAAAGAATAAAATTGCATAAATTCACTCACCTTGTTTCCTCTGGCCTGCTTGTTTGTCTTTCCTTTTGGTTTGAAACAAAACTTTCAAGGAAAATATTTTGTTTTATCTTTGACCAACTCGTTTTTCTCCAATCACCTTAAATTTTTATTTTTTTAATGTGAGGGATAATTTCGATAATAAATTTGGGATTAACTTATTCTACATTTAGTAGGAGTTTTTTTGTTCTAGGATTAGTAATTTTGGAATTAAAATTTATGAGTTTCCAACAATCTTATTTTCTTTTTTCAGAAAAAAAAGAAAAAAACGCTCAATGCATAGGCATATTCAAAATTTAAGGAGATATTAACCTCATCAAGGAGGGCAAAAAAAATGCTTTAGTGAGTTCTATCTCAATCGCTTGACCAAAAGCATATCTTGTTAATAATTTCTGAATATATATTTCTTTTATAAATATTATTAAAAAGTTTTGAAAATTCGCAATAAAACTCTGTATCCGTCATTATTATCTTAATGCTTATATCAGATATCAGATAAAAAATAAAATGGGCCACTTTTTGAAGATAAGTGCCAATATAGTCCAAAATCTTACCACTATAACATCAACTCACAATGGAGGACTTTTGACAGTGGATAGTATTATTATTGTTTGTACCTAACTATTAATAATTGCAGGTAACATGTTATGCTCCCAAACACTATATGTGGTAGTCATAAATTCACTTGTTTTTAGTACAATCTAAGATGCATATGTTATAATTATTTCTTCTTTTTTTTTTTGTCTTTTCGTATGATTGCTTGTTATTTTGTGTAATCAACGTAAAATAATAATTTCTGATCAAGATTAAAAATAAATTCAAATTTAAATTTCAACATGTCTAAATTCTTTCTTTTATACAATTCTTACACCTGTATAAAAATATTTAAATATCAAACCTCTGTTCAAATAATATCTAACGTGTGTTTTTACAGGCACGAGATCGTGGGCGTGGTAACCGAGGTCGGTAGCAAGGTAGAAAAAGTGAAGGTGGGGGACAATGTAGGTGTTGGAGTACTCGTAGGATCATGTCGAAAATGTGATAGTTGTACCAATGACCTCGAACAATATTGCCCTAGCCACATTGGTACATATAGTACAACTTACTCTGACGGAACCACCACATACGGAGGCTACTCCGATCTCATGGTGGCCAACGAGCATTTCGTGCTCCGTTGGCCGGAGAATTTACCGATGGAAGCTGCCCCATTGTTGTGTGCTGGTATCACAACATATAGCCCATTGAGATATTTTGGGATTGATAAGCCTGGATTGAACATTGGTGTTGTGGGCCTTGGTGGGCTGGGCCATATGGCTGTGAAATTTGCAAAGGCTTTTGGGTGCAATGTGACTGTTATTAGTACTTCTTTTAATAAGAAGGATGAAGCAATTAAACATCTTGGTGCTAATTCATTCTTGATTAGTCATGATCAAGAACAAATGCAGGTATTTTTTCTATGTTTATGCTTGAAAATTACAATTATTATACACTAATTAACTAGTTTGGCATCTCGATATCGACTATATATTTGCCATCTAAGAACTATAAGATGTATTAAGTTGGATGTCGTTCGCCTATTAAAACGATATGAGTATACATGTTGTATTATAAATCCTCTAATGTTTGCTTGGATTAAGATGTGTCGGTCAATGCTCTCTTCGTTTTAATTTGTTTGTCTGATTTTAACTTGACACAAAATTTTAGAAAGTAAACAGATTTTTGAATTTGTGGTCTTAAACTAATGGCATGTCGAATTACTAAAATGTCCTTCAGTCTTGTGGTCTTAAATTAACTAATGCTTGTCGAATTGTATTACTTATTTTACATAACTATATTGTGAATATGTGAGTATTGTATAGTGTCTACGAATTGACGAGCATATATGTGGATATCAGATATCGTATGAGTTAGTATTATTATTATTATTATTATTTTGCAGGGTGCAACAAGCACATTAGATGGAATTATAGACACAGTTTCAGCAGAACATCCAATTGCTCCATTGCTCAATATATTAAAGCCTCATGGAAAGCTTGTAATGGTTGGTGCACCACCAAAGCCACTTGAGTTGCCAGTTTTCCCTTTGCTTATGGGTAAAATAAATAAATAATCTTTACTGAATTTTCTTGGCGGAATACATCGATATCTCATGTTAATAAATTTTTATTTAGACACTCAAGCGATTGTCTGTCTCAATTGAGTACCTAAATAGAAGATAAAGTGTTAATACTTGATATTAGACACTTTCAGCTCAAAAATTGGGAAGTCTCCCGTGTGTTTTTTCAAGCGTCAGTTACGTTGATAAGTATAACCCTAAAATATATCACTTTTGTTAATTATATGTATTAGCCTCAATAAGTCGTAAAACCTCAGACTTATTCCAACTTGAGGTTGATGTATATAATTAAAGGAGACGACCTTTTATATAGTTAACTTATTTACATGACAGGCCTTGAGAATACACGCAAAAGCTTTTCTAAAATTTGAACCGATAATATGAACACTTTATCATCATGTATTCAGATGTTCAATTAAAATATGTCATAATTTGAATTCTACATAAAATTTATTAGAATGTATAAGGGTTTATCAATGTATTCCGCCAATTTTCTTAATTCTCTTTTTATTTCTTTATAATTTGGATTCTTCAATATTCAGGTAGGAAAATAATTGGAGGAAGCATTATTGGAGGAATGAAAGAGACACAAGAAATGCTTGATTTTGCAGCAAAGCACAAAATTACACCTGAAGTTGAAGTTGTTTCAATGGATTATGTAAATATTGCTATGGAACGCCTTTCGAAATCAGATGTCAAGTATCGATTTGTGCTCGATGTTGGGAAAACATTGAAAGTTGACTAAATGTGCATGCAAACTGGTCTGAATATTATCGTTATGAATTTAAAATAAAACCGACATTTTATGGCCAAAATAGTAGATTTTTGGCCATTAGGGTGTTTTCACCCTTAAATATTTGTTATTTTGGATTCCTAATCTTCAACTTTGTTTTTATATATTTGAATTTAGTTGCATTTTGACCCATCAAGTTACGCTATTTTGACATGTTTGATCCAATAAGTTGATATGGCACGTCCATTAGCCAATTTTTATTTTCATAATTCCCAATCTTTAAATTTGATTTTGCTCAAGATTTTGAATTCTAGTCTTTTAAAATTATCGATATCTATTTTTTTTGTTTATATATATTAAATAGAAAATTGCGCTAAATTTATTGAATTATACGAACTCATACAGTAAAATGGTTCATGAAAAATCGTTTTATTTTTTTGTGTTTGATATGTAAATAAAAAAAATTATTCTAAAAATGTTTATATATAATATAGAAAAATATTATGGAAGGTAATGATGTGAAATGGTGAGAATGACAAAGTCTACCGTGATAAAAATGAAGATAAGGTGTACTGAAAGGTCAGCTGAAATAACATTATATTATTACTTATAAAACTTATTTCTTAATTCCACTAGAAGAAATTATATTCCTCGTTTTTAAAAAAACATGCTCTCTTAAAAAATTATTATCCAAAAATTTAACTAATTCAACATTTAAAAAAAATAAAAAATATTTTCTTTCATACCAAACAAATATTATGCAATTATATCTATCACATGCATCAAGAATTCAATATTATGCAATTATATCTATCACATGCATCAAGATATGCACCCATAATTTGTCCATATCTTAATTGTATTAATTGGAAGTACTTTTTCGTAATAGTAGTGTCTGGTTAGTTTGGTGTATTTTAATTAATAGTTATTTTATTAAATATCTTTTCAAGATTAAATCGTGTGTTAAATCTTATGATTTCTCATCCACTTCATTGTCCAGTACTAAATCATATTCTCTGGTGCTATTAATTATTTTAGTTAAATAAAAATATATATTAATTAATGACGGTTAAGTGATAAAAATATACATAAAAGATCATGTGATGCATTTATTTTGTTAATGTAGTAAAAATTAGTTGTTAGGTTTAAAAAAACAATCTAACAAAAACCAAAATTGATTGCAAATAATTGTCTTTACATTAACTTTCATCAAACTTGGTAGTTGCACCATTATGACAATCATTTACTACATTTCTCTAACTTTACAACTACTTTTACCCTCAAAAATACCTATTCATTAGGCCTCACATCCACATATCCTTCTATCTCAAATTATCTATCGTGGTTATTTTTAAAAAAAATATTATATCAAATTATTTGTCTTTTCAAAACTTTAAGACTTTTCTTTAATTTTATCCTTAGTATTATTATTCTTGAAAACTGCAAATACTGATGACACGTTATAAATAGAAAAAAAATACTTAATGAAGAAAGATTATATCTCAAGATCAGATAAATAAGCACAAAATAATCAAAAACTCCTTCTAACTAAATATTTTCTTAAGGATCATGTGAAAAAAAAAAAAAAAACACGACAAATAATTCGAGACGGATAATAAAAATTTGCTACCTTTGCCTCAACTCCATTAAATATTTTTTTTGAAACAAGTAAAAATAGCAATAAAAGCAAAAACCTTATCAAACTAGTATAAATATTGGCTTTCCCTTTGAGTTTCCTCAGTCTCATATTTCTAGGCATTCATAGTTTTAATATTTTATATATCTAGCTATTTTCTTTGTGTTATTTTTTTATTTTTATTTTGTTGAAATGGCAAAATCCCCAGAAGAAGAACATCCAATTAAGGCATTTGGATGGGCTGCTAGAGATACTTCTGGTGTTCTTTCTCCTTTCAACTTCTCAAGAAGGTACTCATTATATTATATTACAAGTTCTAATTATAGTTCTATATGTATAAAAAAATAATCAAATTTAAGTTATGTAAACTGATAGTGCAAAGATCTTTTGTGTTATTAATTATGTAATGTAGTTTAACTTATCATAGTATGTTAGTTATCATTCCTATATGACTACAAATTAATGGTTCTCATATGACATATATCTTAATTATATAATTGATCTGATTGTATAAATATTTTCTTTTGCATTGAATTTTAGTGTATTTCTCTTTTGAAGGGAAGTCTTTGAGCAACTGTAAAGTTATTTCTGTGTGACCTATAGGTGATCACAAGTTTGAACTATGAAGTCATGACAACTAGAAATAAAGGCTTTTCTCATTGCGAATCAATAAGAAATCCGTGTTATAAAACATGTTTTTTTCCACCTATTTATCACTGAACCAACTCACTAGCTAGGAAAACGCATGATGAAAAACAGATTCATTCTTACTGAAATACTGAAAGCTATCTAATTTTTTCGTGTGAAAGCATTACTATTTTTTCTTTTCTCAGCAATTCAATCAAAATACTGTAGAAATAGGCACGGAATGTTTTTTCAGGTGGAAAATTTTAATGGAAAAATAGTTATTTTTGGTAGTGATCAACCCTTCAAGTGCAACTCTTTTCCGAATTTTGTGTGAACACGAGATACTTCGTGTACTCAAAAATGATTTAATGTATGTATGGTGCAGGGCTACTGGGGAGAAAGATGTGCAATTCAAGATCTTGTATTGTGGAGTTTGCCACACAGATCTTCACTTTCTCAAGAATGAATGGGGAGTCACCAGATATCCTGTTGTACCTGGGTAACAAGTTCACTTTATCTTAATAATACTCATAATTAAGGTTTAGTTAGTAATTTTTGTACTTTTAATCTATCGCAACAAGTAACCTATCTTTTCACTTTACCACTAGTAATTATTCTTGAATACTATAAATATCGTAATTGATGAAGATGATACATAAATAGAGTAAATATTTAATGAAGAGTGATTATATCGATCTTAAAATATATATAAGCATAAAATAGTCCCAAAAAGAACTCTTAATTAATGTTTTTTGGGGCATGTAAAAGAGAATCACAGGGTATTCAATCCCCGAGCTTCCACACATAATTTGAGACAAATGAATTATTAATTATTCTTGAAGACTACAAACAACTCAATGATGGAGATGACACGTAAACAGAGTAAATATTCAATTAACAGTGATTATATTTTAAGATATAAATAAGGGTAAAATAGTTTAAACCATACCTAATTAATGTTTCTTAAGGGCGTGTAAAAAAGAAACACGACAAGTAATTTGAGACAGAGGGAATAGCAATTGTTTTTGAACACTACAGACAACTCAATTGATTGAGATGACACATAAATAAAGTAAATATTCAATGGAAGGTGATTATATCTTACAACATAAATAAAGGTACATTAATTCAGAAACTTCTCCTAAATTATGTTTTTTAATGGGCGTGTAAAAATACATCACGATAAATAATTTCAGACGGACGGAGGGAGTGGGTAATAAAGTTAGCATTTAATGCTAACCTCCAATGTAGGTGAACTAACAACAGAGTCAATAACTATACAATATACACCATGTCCCTACTACAACTTGTTCCTATTTAATTTATCAATGTTACTAACATTTATGTACCTTTTTTTTTACTTCATTTTTTTTATTATAGGCATGAGATTGTGGGTGTAGTGACAGAAGTTGGTAACAAAGTTGATAAATTTAAGATTGGTGACAAAATTGGTGTTGGATGTCTAGTAGGATCATGTCAAAAATGTGACAATTGTGCAAATGATCTTGAAAATTATTGTCCCAAACAAATACAAACATATGGTCAAATGTACATCGATGGAACGATGACGTACGGTGGTTACTCCGATATCATGGTTGTCGATGAGCATTTCGCGGTCCGTTGGCCGGAGAATTTACCGATGGAAGCTGCACCATTGTTATGTGCTGGTATCACAACTTATAGCCCATTGAAATATTATGGGCTTGATAAGCCTGGTTTGAACATTGGTGTTGTGGGCCTTGGTGGGCTGGGCCATATGGCTGTGAAATTTGCTAAGGCTTTTGGATGCAATGTCACTGTTATAAGTACTTCTCCTAGTAAAGAAGAGGAAGCCCTTAAACATCTCGGTGCGGATAAGTTTTTACTTAGCAACAATCCTGAGCATATTCAGGTTTGTATAATTTGGGGATTTTTATCTATGCAATGTTGTTTTAAATTATAGGGGGTAGTTGAGCATGTCAGATCAAATTAATAAACGAATCATGATTCAGTCCATTCAAAGTTGTTTTGGTCAAAATAGGTCAAAAGTGAGTCATAGCATGTTTCATATCTAGCTTATTTGGTCAAACTTTAAAATTCTACTTATTCTGAAAAGTGTTTTTACTTGTAACTACTTTTCAAAAAGTAATTTTAAAGAAAACAGTTTGTGTTTTGATAATCATTTTGAAAAATGCTTTTGCCAATATCAGTGCAAGCTAGTTGTATTTGACCAATATTTCAAAAGACCTTCCGGAGAAAAACTATTTTTTTTTCAACTTTTGCTACTAAAACACTTTTTTTAAAAAAAAAAAAAAACTTGAACAAGTACCTCTACTTTGTCAAATTAAATCTTTTTGTAAAGTGAGATACAAAACATTTGACTGTTTAGAAGTTTGGTCAAACATGCATTTTAACCTGTTGTGTTACACTATCATGATGGATCATGGTTCAACCAAATCAACAAACTGATCATAACTCAACCTATTTAAACTTGGACGGGTTATTAAAAGATTGAGCCGATTTGTCACCTCTAGTTGAAATTTATGATTTTTTAAAAAATCTTGAATTAATGTAACAGGGTGCAATGAACACATTGGATGGAATTATTGATACTGTTTCAGCAGTTCATCCACTTTTACCATATCTTGGTATGTTAAAGCCTCATGGTAAACATGTTATTGTTGGTGCAATTCCTCAACCACTTGAAATGCCAGTGTTTCCTTTAATCTTGGGTAAGTTTACTCTTCGAATTCTATGTTGACTTAGCTAA